AAACACAAAAAGGAACAGGCACAACTGAGAGATATGGGGGCTTCTCTCTGAGGGAGTTGGGGAAGCAGTAGTTCAGCAATAGTTTGCATCCTCTGAAATGGAAAATGACTGTTTGCTGCAGTGTGGAAAAGGAGCATTTCTGTTTGCAGTGATTAACTGCAAAATAATTGTGTTTAAGCAAATAAACAGTATTTTCTTTTTGCAGGTAAAAAAAACCCCTGGAATATTTTAAAAGTGATAGTGGGATTTGCTGTTCTCATGATCATTAGGAAATGCACCCAAAAGATGTCTGCATTCTCAAAACTAAAACTAAAACACTAAATTAGACCAAAGGCAGCAGAATAGGAATCGCTTGTACTTGCTTTTTTTGACACTGTCATGGTGGAGGGTAAAACCTGCCAAAGTGGGACCTCAGGACAAACTTGGCAAAATTGGTTTAATGAAATTCACTGTTTGAAATTTATTCCCCTTTGAAGCAGGATTTCTCTGTGTGATAACTCCCTAAGGAGAATATCTGAATAACTTATTGAGCAGGAATATGCTGTTGACCTGAAGTTCTGCTGTTAATATTTCAGATAAGAAAGAAAACTGTGCAAACCTTTCCTTGGAAATAACAATATACTTGAATTATAATTTCCTTTTAATAGTGTTGGGAATCTGGTACTTTTATCTAATGCCTACTATAAAAATATTCAAGCAATTGCTTGAATGCTAATGCTAGCAATAAATACTATGTGTCATATTTATTTGCAATGTTATGACAACTACTCAGTTCATGGATAAATTCAGCAGTACCATTACAAAATAAGCAAATGTCCAAGCTACTCAAAGCTGTAAGCAAAGATGTTTGTTGTATTTCTAAAAAGCAGATTTTAAAGTTTCTTCTAGGTAAAAAAATAAGTAATTTATTAATATATGTAATAAAAAATAAGTAATCTATGTAAGAATAGGGGTCTATATTATGGTGTAATTGTATAGAAAGCTGGACAACCAAAATTCTCTTCTCCAAAAGGACTTGAAGACAATTTCAGACTTTAAAAAAAAAAACTCAAAAAAATTCTAAAAAATTATTCAGTATCACATAACTCAGCCTGCCTTCATGCCTGTCAGTCTTGCAAGATGGAATGCATTCAGAAGTAGCCACTGGTTGTAGGAGTTGCTCTGGTCAGCAGGCTGGGGTATGGCTGCTCAGAGTTAAAGGCCAGCTCAGTGCATTTGCTGCACTTTTCCACTTTCTGGACTTTTCCATTTGCTGCACTTTTCCAACAAGCCCTTCCCTTCCAAGTTTCTCTTCCTGTTGCATTCCTCATGGTTTGTACCATGAAGCCAACTGACTTACCTCCCAGGAGATGTCACCAAAGGCTGTCTGTGGGGTTTAGTTGTACAAGAGCATCACCCTGCACTGATTTTTATAATGCAGTATGTGAATATTTTAGATTTGTCTCTGAAAGCTCCATATCATGTATTTTTGTGCAGGAAAGATAAACAGGAGAAGTTGAATGTTTCTTTCACTTCTTTCATCAAAGTGGTTACTCAGAAGTAGTCTTGACTATTTACTGCAGCTGTGTCTGGGCACTTTCTTTAAAGGGGCTGGGAAAGTGGTGTTTCTATAGAAAGCTAGTATGGCCAAGACATTCTTGACTTAACAGCAACAGGATTAAATCTTTAAAAGCTTGTTAAAATAAAATAGGGAAATGCTTCAAATGTGATATGTCAAGTAAATATTTTGCTTGTGGTGTAAAAATAAGATAGTTGCTGCACTTTGCCTGTAAGATGCTTTGGTTTTGATTGGCAGCTGCAAAGCAATTGCAGAGAGAGAGAGCCCCATCCATGTCACCCACTCCCCTGTTGGAGGTGCCTTTGTTGAGGACCTTTATCAAAGAACATTTTATGCTGTCTTTTCAGTCTTTGACTTGTACCTTGAGTGCATCTGCAGCTTGTGCAGGTTCCCTGGATTAAATCACCAGTGGGACATTTGCAGTTGAGTCCAGCAGCCAGGCCCTGCCCTGGATTCCCACTGGCCACAGCTGCAAGGCTGTTCCCAGAGAGGGGAACTGCTCCCTGCTCCATTCTGTGGGTCAGGACAAATGGGAGACACTTCATGTGTATGGGAAAGAACTTCAGTTCTGTCTGCCTGCAGCCTTAATAGGGCTTGTAAAGCAATTAAGTAGGACTTAGGACACTGTTCTCCCAGACAGAAAAGCCTTAGGACAGAAAAATATATTGTATTGCTCTGCATGTTAGTGCTTTGCCAGATTTAAGAAGTTTCATTTCATTATTGGTACTGTGCCTATTTTGGGTGAAAACGTACTGCAAATAGTGAGGTACTACACCCACAGCTAAAATATTTCTCTTCAGATATGGTTAGAAAAATAGGAGTCATTCAGCAAGACACCTTAAAATAGATAACAAACTGCTAATATGGAGAAGTTAATCAGAATTGTATCCAGAAATACTCCATATCACTCTGGGTCCTGAAATACTCCATATCACATAATGCAAAATATTATTGAAGGCCACTGTAAACAACACAGTTTTAGTTAAAAGCCATTTCCAAGATGAAAGATAGATTAAATGGGCTACAGCATTTATGAGGAATTCCTCATGAGGACTTTATGGTAAAGCTTCTCATAATCTTTCATGCTTTGGCTAAAAATATTAGCACCATAAAAATTCTTCAGGGGGCAGACTTGAGGTGGTGGATGCAGAGTGATCAAAACATAAAAGAGGCACATTTTCCCTTTTTACGGAGAGGCCTCTTTCAAATGTGTCATATGATGGATTTGAAATGAAAGTTTAATGTGCATTCAGTTTTTCAGACAGCCATCTTTCTACAGCTTCATTATTAATAACAATCTTAGCCAGCTCTCTTTTTTTTTTGAGCTCTTGATGATTCATTTATCTTATTTGTTTAGCATCAATTTAAGAAAAAATACTCAGATCATAAAGTTAAGGAAGTGTTCCACATTAATAAACCAATGTAAAATCAGTCTCCAACAAGTTTTGCAGAAGTTTTTAATCCATAGTTGTTTGAATTAAAAAGTAAAAAAGTGTGAATAGCATATAAATAGAAAATAATGTGACTGGATTTCCTGTTTAGCCTGTGTGCAATATTTTTGAGCTGTAATTTTTCCTCTCAGCACAATATGAGGAATGATGAAGCCATTTACATGGCTGTTGTTGTATAAAATATTTTTCAAGTAATGTCCACAGTATAGAGATTGTTTTGTTGGCATGTCAGTAAATGAGACCTAGGAAGCAAGTGGATGTATGGCAGCTCTTGGGAAAATAAACATGTAGCATTAAGTAAAATATAAGTTCAAAATGTGTGATTACATTTACAGGGTCAGATCCAAAGCCATTAAATTCATTGACATTTTTGCTCTTATAAAAATATTTCATCAATATTAAGCAAATTATAAATAGTTGGGTAGTCAGCAGCAACCCCTCCAAGTCAAAAGATTTTGAATTTTACAACCTAGCAAGACAAGGGAGTGTCACTGTCCCTTCTCATGGGACATTCTGTTCTGAGTCCTGCAGCAAAGCACAAAGACTGCTTCTGTTGATTAATTAAGTTAATTCAGATGTCTGGAATATGTACAAAAAATAAGAGTTTTGTCTCTAATGTGTATTACTTTGGAATTAGTAGCATAAATTTAATTTCCCATCATTTAGGCAATGCATGTAAGTTTTTCCTAGTAGCATAAATAGTTGTGTATAATGTTGAGAGCATTTTAACTGAGTATACTGTTGTTGAGACAGGGTGAAGAAGAAACAAATTGGAATAACTGGCTCCTTGACCCTAAATTTTTTTTTAAGTTCAAAGCTCATATCTTGAATTTGGATTTTAAAAAGTAAATTACCAAGCAAAATACAGCCAAGGGTATTACTAGATTTTGTTGTCTCTTTTAAAGCTTTTATTTAAAAGAAAATTCTTTTGTAATAAAATTGAAAATCTATGAGTGGAGCCTTTAGAGAAAGGGTTGTGTCATTCCTGTGTACTTAAGCAATGTCTGATAGGGTTTCAGCCTATATATATATATAAAATAATGCAACTGTAATATTGCAGAAATTAAGCATATATGTGGCAGGAGTTTCTGACCTTAAGGACTAAAATTATAGTAACATAGATAGATAAAGAAAATAGGAATGAGGAGGAACAGAGGCTCCTATGTCACCAAACCAGTGACTAGCCCATAATAACAAAGGGAAGGCACTGCCCAGCGGGACATTGAATCCATATTTTATCAATCCTTGGCTAGTATCTGATTTGCAAGTAACTTTCTTTATGCAAGGGATCCTACAGAGCATTTTCAGAATGCTCAGTGCTCCAAGCAGTGCTGCAGGTCAGGACTCTGCAGATGTTCTGACAAACTTGTTCTGAAAAGGAAGTGGAGGGACCAGCCAAAGGGCATCATAACAGGATACCAGGAACATTTGGCAACTCAGGGTACTCATGTGCTCCTACACTGTTTGGTCCTTCTACATTGTGCAATGCACTGGTTTTCTGTATCTGACTCTGTGATTTGTTCTGCCTAAATCACAAACTAGTCCATGCAATGGGAAGAAAGTGCAGGAAAACCACTTCCTTGGCATCCGTGTGTGCTGTGTGTGCTGCTGGCTGGCTGAGAGTCACGTGGCCACCTAGGAGAAACTGTTGAAAAAGATTTCCATGCTGTCTTTGATTTTTCTTTCTTTTCCTACAACATAAACATATGAAGTGTTGAGATACAGTTTTCTAAGATGTGTTTGTGTTTGATTTGTTGAGTTTTTTTCTCCACAACTACTAATATTCTGGCATCAGGAATACCCGAGAGTGTTCTGTGCAGCTTTGGGAGCTGACTGGGCAGCAGTGTGGGAAGGGGCTCTCCTGTGACCAGTGCTTGTGTTGTGTCCCTGCATGTGGGAAGGGGCTCTCCTGTAACCAGTGCTTGTGTTTGTGTCCCTGCATGTGGGAAGGGGCTCTCCTGTGACCAGTGCTTGTGTTTGTGTCCCTGCAGCCCTGCGCAGCCGCTCGGGACGCTCCATCATCAACGGCAACTGGGCCATTGACAGGCCGGGCAGGTACGAAGGAGGGGGCACAATGTTCACCTACAGACGCCCCAATGAGATCTCCAGCACTGCAGGGGAGTCCTTTCTGGCTGATGGGCCAACCAATGAAGTCCTTGATGTCTATGTGAGTTAGTATTTAAATTATTCTTCCTGATGGAAAAGAAATTGTTCAGTTTGTGGTTAACACACAACAGTAAAATGGTATTCAGTACCAACGCTTTGTTGCTGCAGTTTTGAAATATTTGTTTTGATGTTTTACACTTGTTTCCTGTGGTATCTGTTTTGCTCCAGATCATAGGAAATCTTCATCAAGCCTTTTTCTCTCAGACTTAACTGATCCAGTAAAACCAATTGAACTTACTCAGTAAAATAGAAATAAGGCATACAAATGTTCAAGGCTTTTCTTTTGTGAACTGGATTTTTTCTGGATACTTTCCTATTGAAACAAATTTGGTATAGTTTAATTTTACAGTGAAGAAGCAAATACTTAAGCCAGACAAGGCCTCTCACCATCTCAGTTTCCTTTAAAAGAAACAAGTCCATAAACCTATAGAACGTAGGATTTGAAGCAGGGCAGTTTTATTATGAAGCTGTGATGGGAGACCATAGATAATGGCTATTTGAGAAAGGAAGACAGAAGACAAATTGTTTCTAAGAGGGAGAAATATTGAGAAAGCTTTTTACTTTAGATGGGATGGGTTTTTAGTTCATCATATTGAAATAAAAAAAAAACCTGGAATTGATTACAACTTCTTCCAAGATAAATGGTGTGTTCTGAGATTATACACTCCCACACAGTAAAATTAATTTCTTGAAAAAAATAAATTAAGGGAATAAATGATTCTTTCATATAGGCTTTTTTGTCCTTGAGTGCAGTGCAAGGTAGAAAAGTGAATGTGCTGGGTAATTCCATAGAAAACTTAATAGTAACTACCCTGATTACTAGGCTGGGAAAAGTTAGATGTTGGCAAAGTTACTTCCCATCTGCTATATGGTGTCTAATAAAGCAATGTAATAATTATGCTAACACTAGAATCATTAAGGTTGAAAAAGACCTCTAAGATCATCAAGTCCAAGATCCGAACTTCTTTTCCAATTGATTGCAATGGATGACTGGGAAAAACCTGGAAAAATAAACAATTTTTCTCTTAAACTGTGCAATGCAGACTCTGTGTTTTTCAGATGTTTGTGTTTTTGTGAGGTTACAGGGTTTGTGAGTTGAGGCTTGGCTTTGAGTTTTTATGTTCAGCCAATTAATGCCTAGTATGTAATGACCCAGAGAGAAATGGGTTAGGAAATGGATTAAACATTTCCAAAGTAATATCATAAAAAAGCCTTAAGTTTTGATGTTGTTTGATGTTTGTTTTGATGTTTGATATTGTAATGTTTTGGTTTAGGCTTAGGGAGTGTAAGAAAGCTGCCATGATGGGTGTAGCTTTGCCAGCTTTGCTCTGTGGCTGCTGATAGGACTCTCACCTGAGATGTTTTGGTTTGATAGGAGGAATGCTACAATTCAGTATAAAATGATCATTTAGTCTTTTTTTAATATACTGTGGGAAGATAAAGGTGAATAGTGCTAGATGCAAGAAAATCAATGCTCAGTATGACAGCTTCTCTCCCAGGTTTGAGATGTGTAACCAAGCAGATACAGATGTCTTTTTTCAGACTTACAGTGCCTGAGTTATGTAATTCTCCATTCACCCATACTCATGATCTCTATGCTCTGTGTAGAAAAATAAAGAGATTTGCAGATGAGAACTCCAAATGGCTTCTGTTCTATTTTTCTGAGATCATGCTGTCTTTCTTCCTCTCTGAAATATAAAGTGAAAAGCTTTCTGATGTACAGGAGGTTATAAGTAACAAGAAGAGATGCAAGTTCTGTCCAAGTGTGAAGTATACATTGCTACAAAGACTTGGGTCCACTAAGTCAAAGCAGAAGTGTTCTATCATTTCAAGTATTTTCCTGCAGGAAAGCTGGAACAGTATGCTAATTAGGGACCTCATCAGTTAAGCTATGTCTAAAATATGACTTTCAGTTGTTTTGAGAAGTATGATGGAAAAACCATCACATGGGAACCACTGGGAAGTTGTTCCTGGAACTATCTACAGAACAGGGTCCTGGCTCTGGAAGGGGAAGTGTACTCTACTGCTGAAGTTAGTTCACAGTTCTTGGTTCTCTCAGGACCACAAAGAGGGTGTATTTTTTGGATAAGAAAGTGACATTGGAAGGACCCAACCTTAAAAAAAAATACTGCAAGCAGTGCATTATTAGCTGGTTCAGAAAAGTGAATACTCTCTGGGGGACAGCGTTTAGGGGAACAGCTATTATATTTGGCAATGAAAGAGTGATTTTGACATAAGTTAAAACAGAAGTCTGAATCCCTAGTTGGTATTAATAGATACAAATTTAGTGAAGCCTTGAAGCATTAGTTGTCCTCTGCTGGGTCACTGGGCCATTAGGATAGCAGGACATTTTACTTCTAGGTCCAAGAATCCATGAGATTCATTGGTGAGAACCAAAGAGCCAGAGGTAGCTCTGATGTTTGCTTGTGGGCTTGTTGGTTTGGGTTTTTGGTTTTTTGTGTTCTGATTTGATTTGGTTTGGTTTTAAAGGGTACTTTGAGTATAGTCTGAGGCTTTTATCAGACTAATCTCCACAGAGAGTTCAGGCTAGAACATGTGTCAGTAGAAGCAATACTGAAGTAGTCAGAGCTAAAATAGTGGAACTATCAGCTCATGACACCCCTGCATTTGTAGTGTGGGTGTGCTCAGGCTCAGAGCAGCAGTGCAGTAGAATTCAGTTGGGAATGGAGTGTGCTGCTAACAGTGTGTTAAAGCTGTGCTAAAGTCGTGTCTTTCTCAGGTCCTATTATGCCCAACTGTTTAAACAGCACACCCAGTGTAACAATGGCTGTCAGAGTCATGCTCATGTCAGCTCACCTGGGCTTGTGCAGCAGCATTCTGAAAACCCTGGGCTTCATTTTCACATTTAAAGGAGAAAACTTTCTGGTTCCTGCCTGTGTTTCGTAAAGAACATATTGATGGAATTGTGGTTTGCTGTAAGACATCTTGGTTCAGTTGAAGATGAATGTGGGAAGATGCAGGAGGGCTGCAGGTGATCTTCAGCTGCTGCAGCAGCAGGTCCATGGGCCTTTGGGACCTGCTCCCTGATCCTTGCTGGGCACTGCTCCTGGGGAGGCAGCAGGACAGCCACAGTTTGAACTGGTGGGTTGCTGGGGCTCCATGGGTGCTGAGGGAGCTGCAGGTGCTGGAAGGAGCAGCAGCTTTGCCATGGACACAGAGCAGTGTGTGCTGTCTGCAGGGGTCTCCTTGAGCCTCTGGGGAACCTGTAAAAGTGCAATAGGCTGCGTGTGTAGGGCTAGGGGTTGTGGTGGTTTGGTTTTTCTGCTTTGTTTCTTCTTTGCTTTTGTTTCCTCAGGCATCTGTCAAATCCCTGCTATCTGAGAGTGTTTTGATGATCTTAGGACCATCTCTTCTGCTGCTGAGGCCTGGAGTGAGCCTCTGCTGCTCCCCTTGCTGAGGGGAGAGGCCATGGCTGGCACAGCCCACAGCACACCCTGGCCCAAGCAAGGCAGTCTTAGGTTTTTCAGAGAAGATTTAGACAAACAGTTTCTCTGCCATCAAAAACTAGCTCAATTTACAAACACAGGAACTTGCATATCCTTCTTTGCAAACAGTAACTTGTGTTTTCTTCTTTTTGCATTTTTTGGAGACAGTCATTAACCATTGCTTCTATCCCAACCAGTGATAAATAATGTTATGTAGCTGATCAGTTCAAGTTGATATTTAAGTGTTAGTGACATAACAAGTGGAAGAACTCAATGTATGCTGGTTTTCTTTTTAGATGATTCATCAGCAGCCTAACCCTGGTATACATTATGAATATATCATTCCAGGAGACAATGTCATTAGTCCTCAGTTGCTTGCTCACAGGAGGCCAGGTAAAATGTCACCATTTCCTTTTATCAAACACTTTATCTCACTTAATAAGCTAATGGAGAAATTCGTACCAATGAATTAGTGTAAATGCTGTGGGAGAGGCCCAGAATTTCACCCTACATGTTAAATTTGAACTCACCATAGATTTGGTAAAACTTCAGTGAAGTGAAACTGGCAGGGTTTATTATGCTTTAGCTGGGAAGATTACTACTTTGAGTAGGAGTGTTGTAACCATGTCTCAGAAATTAAATAGAACATGATCTTTATTTTCAGAGTGTTTTTCTTTCTGAGATAATTTAAAACAACCCTCCACAGTTCCCCTTTCCTCTTGCAACTGGAGAGGATCAAACAGAACACTGTTCTCTTCCCAGGCAAGAATCTGGGCAGCCCCTGCCTGAGCTGTGGGTATGTGCTGTGTGTGCACCTAGGAAGTTCTGAAGGACAGGAGAAACTTTGCAAGTGAATTTGCTCCTCACTTTAATGTTCGTGACTTGCTTTGACAGATTTCTGAGTGTTTGGTATGTTCATAATGAGGAGCAGCTGTGCTGTGACATGGGGAGGCACAGAATGCAGAGCATGGAACAAAACAAAAATGCTTTGGGAAATTTTGACACTGGGGGCATTAACTCTACGTTGTCTTTGGAGATTCTTCAGTTTTTAGTTTTTAATGTACTTGCTGGCTAAGACTTGGTTGTCTTAGTTTACAACAACACAGTCTTTGCAGGTCACTATTAGGCAGTCTCTACATAGCAGATTAAAGCTGCTTCCAAGTTTAGTGATTCTCCAGTTCTAATTATTAGGGAATAATAACATAGACTAATAGGCTCATTGTTTTACTTTTCTATTATTGTCCATCATCAGGGGAGCCACTGAATGGTCAGTTAGGAATGCCAGAAGGTACAAGTCATGAGTCTGAGGATTTGCATAGAGAGACAGACATTCTCACTGGACAGTCAGCTGGAACTTTCCCAGTTATTCAGCCAGGAAGATTTCCTTCTCATCAGCCAGAAAACCAGGTGCCTGCTATGCAACCACCAAGACAAAACCGAGAATACAACTGGAAACAGGTTGGGAAAACTGAGTGCACTACTACATGTGGGAAAGGTAAGGGCTTTGTGTATGCACAAACATTGCTAGACCTGCTGTTTTCTGTTCTCTTACAATCAAAGGTCATATCACTTCTATTACCTGTGCTTATATTTAAATCAGTAAAACCAGCAATATTAGAAATAGAAAGTGTGGAAACTATAAGGAAGGGTACAGCATTTGTCTCTGAAAGGAAATATTTCAGCATTTTTGGCAAGCTACTCTCTCCCATGCCCTTGATACACAGCTACTTTCCTCAGCATCCTTTGGTATTCTTTACCATTCCTTTTGCCTCTCCAGCTTTGTCAGATACACCCACCATGCTTTTTGTGTCTTTGCCAACAGTTTTCTGACCTTCATGGGAAGATTTCACTGGCATTTCATCAGACAGATCTTTGTCTCATTGGATGTTGCTGGAGCAGCACTGATGTGACTACAGAAGTCTGAGGTTTTAACAGGGAAGAAGTGGGAAGGAAAAGGGATGGAAAGGGCCTGGTGAACTTTTGGGAAGTGGTGCATAAACTGCTTGTGTGTACTGCAGAGGTTAAGCTTTGCTGCCAGACAGTCACAGTGACCACAGATTCAATAATGCAGAACACAAGCAATTACTTGGAAGAATAAGTTTTTTTGATGGTAAAAGTGAAATCTTTTGTACTATGCATAGCCACCCACCACCATACCATAAAGCAGCAGAGGTTTAAAATAAACATGTTCCAGTGTGGGAGCTCAGCTGACTGTCACCAGTTCATTTACATGTAGAACATTTGCTTCCTAATTAGTTTGAGAAGACACTTTGTAAATTTGGTCCAAGGCCAGATCGGTGTGCATGTTATAGCTACAGACAGCTGAAAAAATCCAGCAATATTGATAACAATCAAAATTTCTTCTCAGTTAAAAAAAAAGAAAACTCCTTGAAGAAATTACTGCAAAAGTACTGGAGCTAAAATACTACCAGTAAAATTCAGACTTCCTTAAGTCAGCCCTTTTGTGGAGAAAAATATTTTAGTTGGCATTTAAGCACACTGTGCTTTTACTACAAGTCATCTAGGCAGAATCCATAATTGTGTCTGATTATTGGCTAGCAGTAATCAGTCTGTATCAACTACTGAGTGACTGAATTCCCATATTCAAGGTGAATTTCAGTATCTAAATCAGGTAATTTATGGTGCAGTTGCAGGAACACATCAGGGTAAATGTATTCTTCCTTTCCATCATAAAAATCTTTGTTGTGTATGCCATGGCTTTTATCAACATTGGCACATAGTTCTTGTTCTTTCTGCAGAGATCTGGTCACTCTTGGCAGTGGTATTAATGAAATCTGAGTCAAAATGAAGATAGAAAAACACTAGGACTTAAAAAAAATTAAAAAAAAAATAATTTCAGCCTCCTATTTATTCCATTAAATTTAGCAACAGAGCTACCAGAAATAAGTGTCTCTTTTCCCATTATATGGATAATATGTGCATGTTCTGATTAAGTTAAATTCAAAAGAAACTGGATCTTGAGAGCTGGATCCTGAGACTATTGAGACTGTATGAACATTTCTTGTGATCTTGCTGTGAGATGCCCCTGCCTCTCTGATGGCCCTAAGGCATTTCAAGCCAAACTAGGTTATATAGGCTGACAAAGAAAGGAGTGGAAAAATCAGGGAAAAAATCTGTACTATTTAAGGCTTTGTTTCATTTTGTGTCGTTCAGTATAGGACACTTTCTGCTTTTTTCTTTCCTCTGTGTTTTCCATTTTCTTCTACTTTATTTCTTCATGCAGAAATATAGATGATGGTTTTTAATATTTTTTGTAAGATCCACTAAAGTTAAATGATCTTAGGAAATTCCGAGTTGCAAGAAGAAAAACTAAGTTATTTTTGTGCTACCTAAAGAAAAGGGAGGCTAAATTAACAGTTTTGATGAAAGCCTGAGAGATTTCAAAGCACATTTGTAAAACTTTGGCTTAGAAAAGGACTATATTAACTTTTTTTTTACAAAGTGAAAATGCTTCCCATGAGAACTGCCACCATCCCTTGTCCTAGATTTCCATTTAAGATGACTGAGCAAATCTGCTGGGATTTGGACATTGCAGAAACTGCTACCACGTCCTGTCAGCTCTTACATTTGGAAATGTTGGATGAAACCTTTGTCTGTATCTCCCGTTGTCAATTTATGCATTTCCTTTCTGCATCAATGTTGGATGCTGCTGTTATTGCAATTCTTTACCTAATTGACTGTTTCATTTCAGGATCACAGTACCCAATTTTCCACTGCGTCAACAGAATCACTCACGAGGAGGTACCCGAGGGTTACTGTGACAGCAGCACCAAACCCATTCCAGAAGAGGAGGCCTGCAACCTCTTCCCATGCCCTGCTTTGTAAGATACTATAACTTAAGTAAAATAAACCAATGTCATTGGGATCTTGCATGTCAAGGAGGCTATTCTAAGTAGGAAAGTAGTTTAACTTTCTAAATACACGAGTTCTGAAATAAAATGTGTAAACAATTTAGATACTTCCTTTAGGTGTGTGTCCGTGTCTTCATGCTTGTAAAGAAAAAACTGAAAATAACATATCTATACAAAGGTGACTGAATAAATACAGTGAAATTTTAGAATGAGAAGGATCTATCGAGAGATTATTTTCAGTCTCTAAATTTATTTATATTTGTTCATTGCTTATCATTTACTATTTCAGTTTTACTGATGAATGAATGCCTGGATGCGTGACGTGATTCTTGTGTTGCCTTTGCTGCAGAAAAGTACAGCACATATTAAATATTTTCAGAAGTGTCATTAGAGCAGTAATATATATTACAGACACATTCTTTTAAAAACCAAGCAGCTGTTACAGGCTTGAGTAACATTTGCAGTGTGCCTTGAGACCATGAATTGTGCAATCTGTATCCATGCTCACAGTTACCAGCCTCTGCAGGAAGGCTGTGTAAACAAGTGTGTGATGGTGCCTCCTAAGGGATCGCTGCACACACAGAGACTGAAGTGGGGTTTTATAGGATTCTGGACCAGCATAAGAATCATGTCATTCCAGTTCTGTTAAGATCAGTGTTAGAGAATTCTTTGTGGAACAAAGATATCCTTTTCTTTTCACTGCAGCTGGGACATAGGGGAGTGGTCTGAGTGCAGCAAGACGTGCGGGCTGGGGATGCAGCACCGGCAGATCCTGTGCCGGCAGATCTACGCCAACCGCACGCTGACGGTGCAGCAGTACCGCTGCCAGCACCTGGAGAAGCCCGACACCACCAGCACCTGCCAGCTCAAGATCTGCAGCGAGTGGCAGATCAGGACTGAGTGGACCTCAGTAAGTAGGATCCATTCATTTAGGGTAAAACACCTCAGAAAGAATACAAATTTTCTTCCAGGGATCGCTAATCAAATATCAATTTGGTTTTGTTAAAAACAAAGTGGAATATTAAAAACCTTGGAAATAAGCAAATCTTAGTTCAATAAATCCCTGCTTAACTATGACCATTGGTTTCCTAACCAGAAAGATGTCTTAGCAGGAATGAATTAACTGTATGATCCCAGCTCCCTGGTAAACCACTGCAGTCTTTGCACAGAGTCCTGATGTAACCTCCCTTTTGTCCCAGTGTTCAGTGCCTTGTGGAGTGGGGCAGAGGACTCGAGATGTGAAGTGTGTCAGCAACCTTGGGGACGTTGTTGATGATGAGGAATGTAACATGAAGCTGCGGCCAAATGACATCGAGAACTGCGACATGGGCCCCTGTGCCAAGAGCTGGTTCCTTACAGAATGGAGTGACAGGGTAAGGCTTCTCAGTATCTTTATCCTGACAAACCTTCTAAAACAAGAGCATCAGAATGTTAAAAATACACATCTGTATAGCCATAAAAGGAGTAATCTTATTTTCCATGTTTATTCTTGGTCTTTTAAACAGGCAAAAGCAAACAAAAAAATAATATCCCAAGGGCTTCTTGAGTTTGTGTTAAGATGCAAGAATGCCTAGAAAGGGCAAGCCTGTGGGTACATGGCCAAATGTCCAGACTTAGAATTGGCTCCGAGTCTGAACTTTACAAAATATTGAGTGTACTGGGATTTATTATTCTTCTTGCTTAGTGCTGACTCTCAATATTCAGACTCTTAAAAGTTTCCCCACTGTTTTGTTAAGGGATATAGATTTGAGGCCTGATGTCTGGGTTTAAGTTCAACCCATAAACCAATTATCTCATAGGTGTGAAAAGAGTAGAACAACTTCATAAACTCAGGCAGGCTTGATTCAGGCTCTTGTATTTTATTAACATGGATATTGGGGTTAATTTTCTTCCAATGAGTCAGATTCTCTGCATGAAAGCAGTAACACTAGTGGTGATTTAACTTGTTTCGTGATTGGGCTCAGAGTTGTTGTTCAGTGGTGATATTTAGATGCTTTCATTAAGAGTCTTACAAACATGGGCTGAGAAGAGCCTGATATTTTGGTCCCTCTTGTGGATGCTTGCATATCAGTTTCATCTGTAGGCAAGTCCAGCCTTCAGTCTGTCTTTGCTTTGACAGACAAATAACATAATTTATCAGTGAAGCTGTAAGATTACATTCATGACTTCATGATTTCATTATTTAGATTACTTTGTGGTAGTACCTCTGAAAGCCAGGAGTGTCAGGCTCACAGGCTGGGCATTAGTTTGGACACTCAGATTTTCCATGTGGTTTAGATGCCAAGATGGAGCAGGAACTTCACAAGTAGGGCAGGTACCTGCTGTGTCACAGAACTTTAAAAGGCTAATCAGACTCTTGTTACAAGGTCTGCAAAATTTTCAGCCCTCAGACAACTCAAATAGATTTTATAAAGGAAACAAAGCTATAGACTATTTAATCTGTGTCATTATGACTTTTTTTTTCCTGTGTATGCTCCTGCATAGTATGGACAGAATGATACCAGGAGAAGCAGAGGTATTAGTGCAAAGGGCAGAGATTTTGCTATAGGGAAATGGCAGTGCTTTTTTTTTTCCTGCCTGTTTTCCCCCTCACAGATCTGTTCTTTCTACAGTGCTGTTAAATCCGTTATACCCTCAAAGACATCATTTTGCCCAGCTGCTGTTGTCCAGGGCAGTTCCACCACATAAAGCACAGACATTGCATTGAAAACTCTAGCACCATCCTCTTGATTATTTTACACTGATACTTAGTTCTCTGCAGAATTAAAAGCAGCTTTTGAGCTGAAGGTTATAACTGTAGAATGTTATTATGCTTATTTATACATGTTAAATGAGACGTAGAAGTGAAGCAGGTAATGTGGAAAATGTTGCAGTTTTTTTTTTTTTACCACAGACTTTTTAGGGCTGGGGAGTAAAGAATGGATTTTGTTACCTTCTCAGTTTATATAAGTGTACAGAGTGTACAGATTAATTTCTTCCAAATGCTTGCTACTGTAGTTGGCATTATTCACCATCACTTCTGCCAGGAGTGGGTTTGGAGCTTGATTCACAAAGAGGATGTAAGAAACAGCTTATTTCAGGAGAAAAAGTAGATTCGAGGTGAAACATGCAGGATCTCCTAAGATTCACACATACCTCATAACTGGGATGTTGAGACATTCAGGGGCAGGCAGTGAAATACAGCAGCAGTGAACAGCTTTGCAAGGTCAGGTCATTGGCCATTAGCTGTCCTCTTGTGCCTTGAAAGGGCTGCAGCTTAGGAGCAGAAATCTCTCTCCTTTGTACAGGAGTGTGTTTCTGTTGAAAAACAAGAGAATTCTGTCATGGAATAGAAATGGTCATTCCCAGGTATATGGACTTTGCATGTGTCATTTCCCAAAACAATTCCTTAAAAAGTACTCTAAGCCAAGCCACACTTCAGCAATAAGCATAGATCAGCGATGGGCAGCCACAAATGGTTCAGATAAGCAGCCAAAAGTTCAAATGCTTTAAAAAAGCTTGTTCAAACCTCTTGAGTCTGCAAAACTGTGGTGGAAATCTCACAAGAACAGACCTTCTTTGTGAGCTTTATTACATGCCTACTTTAAGTCCCAGCTGGAAATACCACAGAACAGTCTTACCCATTGTATTTTGACATTTCAGCCATGCCTAGAATAAGAGGTAAAAGAACTTATCATAACTTTTGGAACTTTGAAATGGTTGAGTTCAAACTTAGTTACTGCTGGAAGAGGCAGCCTTTTCTGAACCCACTTTGCAAACACTTCATGTGTACAGTTGCACATGCAGCAAGTAGAGATTTCCAGAAGCCTGTCAGAGATTGGTTAGGAATATACTTCCTCTTTCAGCAAGGGATAGATCAGACTTCCCTGTCTGGATTGATGGGATGCATGGGCTATTGCAATATAGCCTTGGTTAACTAGCAAAACATCAAGAAAAAAATGCAGCAACATAAAAAATTGCCATTGTCTTTGCTGCAGCAGATGTTCAATTTCAGCATTTCGTATTTGTGCAGAATTTGACATGGGTATTCTTTTACACTGTTTTAAGAAAAGAAAGTGATCCAATTTAGAAATAGTGAAGAGATTTTGTTATCTTATTTTACTGAGACCATGCAAAATTTTAATTGATGCAGAAATCATGCTAGTTACCTGTATTATCATTAATAGTTTCTGTGGTTCTGAACTAGTAACTATCATTACTTTTCCCTAAATGTGACTTCAGCAATATTACATATATGCACTTAAAAAATCTGTAGAGCATATACAAATTTGTGTGTAGGAGTTGTGTTTCCTTCCCAGGGGTGGGCTGTATGTTGCTTTACCCTGTAAATAACACTTGGCTGCCTTCTTGCCCTGTTCTCCAGGCTTGTTTTCCCACAATGTATTTATGTATTTTATGGGCCACCTGTTTCACCCCATGGCATTGACCTTCTTGGTGTTGGTTTCTGCACACACTGAATTTTTATATATGTAACTAAAACCCCCTTCATGTTCCTAAGACAAGGCAGTTCTTGATTTGTGGTATTTTGATAAACAGGTATCAGAGTCCATTGAGTGTATGTTACACAAACAAGGTGTGTGGCCACCATGTGTGCTCTGGAAAGGAAGGGAGGAAAAGCAATTCATTCTTGGGAAACAAACACTTCTTTTCTGAAAAGTGTATACTTTTGTTCCTTGTATGGGAAATAGGTCTAAACACCATCTATTGATACCCCCAGGCTCAGTCTTGAAAGAAGCAGAAATTTTCACGCACTTCAATGGAAAAGATTACAGGTTAAAAGTCTGTAGTAGCAAAGTGAAACTGGTTGGTCTTACTTTGTCTGTGCCTGTCTTTGCATTTATTGCTCTTTCTTGGGCATAAATAAGACAATTAACTTAAGTTTCATGGCTTTGACTTCTGCATGATCTTTAACCTCTTTTTGCCTAGAGAGAGTCTGGACAAACTTTTGTGATATTTTTATGTGCATTTGTAGAAAGATTGCTTCCTGTCTCATAATTCTCTAAAGATGTCATCCTGCATTAAAGCAGCAGAGTTCCACCAAACAGCGTCCATTAATCAGTAGAGGAAATCTGGTGAACCTTACTGAACTTAGCAACAAAATGGGATTGATGGGAGCAGATGAGATTCTTGCAAACATTTCACATGACTGATTCTTTGACAGCTCTAATTGCTGGAAAGTTTATTTCTCCTATGGGTCAGGAGTGGGAGACTTCATTCTCCTGATTTACAGCAATGGGAAGACTCACCAATGTTTCCTTCCAGCTAACTGGAGCATTTCCCTCCTGCATTTTTGTTTATTCCTCATTGCCATCTCCTCTGTTCATTTGTTTCTCATTTTATGTTTAGAGCCTACTTAGAAAAGGAGCCAAAATACAAACAATTCTTAGATGTTAATGAGATTCTGCGGCCAAAATAAAATCTTGGGAAGAAAGGAAAAATGCTGCACATCAGGGAACATAATCAAAACAAACCAAACACATGCTCTGGATTTCACTCTTCATTAAAAGGAGTAACAGCAATGCTTCTGTAATAATCTCCTGCAAAAGAACTGTAGTAAAAGGAGAACTTCGTAAAAATCAATGCATTATTCCTCTCAATTCTAAGCGTTGCATAAAAGGTTCAAGTGTGTTTGTTGACCAGTCAAATCTTGAACCACCAATGAATATTGTAGCTTACACTCTTCTTTCACTGTTTTTTATTTAAATCTGCATACTTCACTTAAAAATCTCCTGAATCATGGGGAAAAAAAGGAAAACCACCATTAAGCTTGTGCAAGAGTTAGTTATTTTTTATTATCACTCTTTATTTGTTTTAGTATAAAATAAAAACAAGATAAAATATCCTTTTTCATTGATTTCATGTGGGATTTATATGGAAATAGAAGGTTTGCATTCTTTACATATGAATATGTAAAGAATGCAAACCTTCTATTTCCATATAAACTCACTTCATATTTGCCATGAAACGTAAAGCCAGGAGAATTTGATAGAAGGGTGGCCAAGGTCTACAGAGATTTGTGTTTCCTTGTAACCTGGCCTTGCCATGCCCCACTTCAGCCCCTGAAGCCTGCCTGGCTGTACCTGTGTCACAAGGAGGGTGGCAGGCAGGGCCCAGGCAGGGTCCAGGCTGTCAGACAAGATCAGTGACGAGGCAGGGGCAGGGTCAAGCTCAGGGTCAGAGCAGGGACAGAGCCCAGGGTCAGACCCAGCCCAGCCACCCTGGGGATGATCTGTGGGCATAGGGCAGGGCCCAGGGGCAGACCCAGCCGTCCTGGGGATGATCTGTGGGCATGGGGCAGAGCCAGGCCAGCCCAGCCACCCTGGGGCAGAGCCAGGCTTGGGCTGGAGGGAACCCCAGGGGAGGGATCATGGAA